TTGTGCTACTGCACTCCAGTCTGGGTGACAGAGCGGGACTCTGTCTCAGACAAAAACAAAAACAAAAGCAAATCAAAAGCAAAAAAATAATATGTGGTTTCCAAACAATTCTTGCCACTTCAAACACTCCTATGATTTTGCACATCCTCTTTCTAGAATTTTGCCTTCCCATCCTCCATCTGTTGGCTTTCTAATTTTGTTAAGTCCTGCTTTCAAACTTTAGTGCAAGTAGCTCCTCCGTCTGACTGTGCCCACGGTTCTCTGTATTTACATCTTAAAACTGTACTTGCCGAAGCCGAGTGTGATGGTTCACACTTGTGATCCAGCTACTTGGGAGGCTGAAATGGGAGGATTGCTTGAGGTCAGGAGTTCAAGACCAGCCTGGGCAAAATAGTAAGCCCCTGCTCCCCGACAAAAAAACTGTACTTGTGACATCTTGAGCTTGTCTTTCCCATTCCCCATCTTTTGTTGGGGCCAATTCTCCATGGCGTTTCTACCCATCTTATGGCAGCTTTTGTCTCAGACTATCTTTCCAGGATGTTTACTTAGCAAACAGCCTTGGAAGATAATATCTCTCTCTGGGCAGGAAACAGATTTTATTTCCTGAGCAGTATAATAATCTCCCCCTCAGGGATTGTGAACCCTGAAAATTTGAGAAATTTGAGAATTTAGAATTAAAATTTGAGAATTTAGAAAGTTTATTTTGCCAGGTCAGGCACAGTAGCTCACGCTTATAATCCTAGAACTTTGGGAGGCCAATGTGGGTGGATCATCTGAGGTCAGGAGTTCGAGACCAGTCTAGCCAACATGGTGAAACCCCATCTCTACTAAAAATACAGAAATCAGCTGGGTATGATGGCAGGCGCCTGTAATCCCAGCTACTTGGGAGGCTGACGCAGGAGAATCACTTGAACCTGGTAGACGGAGGGTGCAGTGAGTTGAGATTGTGCCACTTCACTCCAGTGTGGGCAAAAGAGTGAAACTCTATCTCCTCTGTCTCAAAAAAAAAAAAAAAAAAAAAAAAAAAAAATTTGCCAGGCATGGTGGCTCATGCCTGTAATCCCAGCACTTTGAGAGGCCAAAGCGGGCAGATCACCTGAGGTCAGGAGTTCAAAAGCAACCTGGCCAACATGGTAAAACCCTGTCTCTACTAAAAATACAAAAATTAGCCGGGCGTGGTGGTGGCGCACCTGTAATCCCAGCTACTCAGGAGGCTGAGGCTGGAGAATTGCTTGAACCCAGGAGGCAGAGGTTGCAGAGAGCAGAGATCGAACCATTGCACTGCAGCCTGGGCGGCAAGAGCGAAACTCAGTCTTAAAAAGAAAAAAAAAAGAAAGTTTATTTTGCCAAGTTTGAGGACACTTAACCTTGACACAGCCTCAGGAGGTCTTGATGACGTGTAACCAAGGTGGTCAGAGCACAGTTTGGTTTTATACATTTTAGGGAGATATGAGACATCAATCAACATACGTAAAATGAACATTGGTTCGGTCAAGAAAGGCAGGACAACTCAAAGTGGCCAGGAAAGGCGGGACAACTCAAAGTGGGGAGAGGGCTTCCAGGTCACAGGTAGGTGAGAGACAAATGGTTGCACTGAGTTTCTGATTAGCCTCTCCAAAGGAGGCAATCAGATATGCATTTATCTCAGTGAGCAGAAGGATGACTTTGAACAGAATAAGAGGCAGGTCTGCCCTCAGCAATTCCCAGCTTGACTTTTCCCTTTAGCTTAATGATCTTAGGGGTCCAAGATACTTTCCTTTCATAGGATGAAGGTTGGGCAGATTTGTTAGCAGCTCCTTCTAAGACAGGTGGTTTTATAAGCTTAGGGTTCCTTGGCTGTGACACCAACGCATGGTGTGCACAGCATCCACCTAACCTGCTCTGCATCACTCCTGAGGGACGCAGAGGACAGCAGAAATTGAGGCAAAACACGAAGCTTATGCTGCCTGCTGTGTCACAGGTAAGAGAGTCTTTTGTCCTTGACCCACACGTCTCACGTCTTCTGCTGGCATCTGTGAGCCTCTGAAACTATGGCAGGCTAACTTGTTAGTGTGCAAGTAGGGTAAAATTTTGGACCTTCCCCTGTTCTTGACACCTTTACACACACTTGACTGTAAGTGCCTTGAGAGTAGGTACTGTGTCTCAATGGACTCTGCTTACCCCGTGGATGACACAAAGTAGTTGCTTGTGGTAGGTAGTAACTGCCTACTAATGCAGCTTTGGTCTAAAGGACTTTGGATGTAAGCACTCAGATTTATTTACTAAATCCAGCTCTGGAAAAAACTGCCATTATTCCCCTGTTTGGCCACAGATGTTCTTCCCCTGGTCCTTAGGTATTGTGTATATTCCTTGGGTTTGCAGAAGGTGAAGCCTCAGAGAAAGTGAAGCTCAGGGGGCTACAAATTGCTACAGAAAATTCACATTGTGAATAAGCCCTGCTGCAGGTAGTGGAAGTGACTCATTTATCAGACTGGGTGTGATGTGGTAGTGTGAGAGGTAGTGTGCTGTGGTGCAGTTAGGATGGAAATGCCGGTCTTTGTTATTAGCCTCACAATAACATCAAACATACCAGACCATTTCCCAGAAAAGCCAAAATGATTGCAAACCAACCTGAGCTCGAATGAAGGAATGAATGAGGGCTTCTGGTGATTGATCTCTTAGAAGTAAATTCTGCTAACCTTTGCAACATAAGTAAGCCCAGTCATGACCAGGCAAGACAGCTGGCTGGGCTTGCTCATGGGAGGGAAATCTTCCGGGTTGCAGCTTTAACCTGGGTTTTGAACTGTGGAAGCCCATCTAGCCATCCTTTTCTGGTTTAGGAGGAGGGTAGAACCCTGAGAGCATTTGAGCAGACATGGCTTTCAGAGCTAGAGAAAGTCAAGGGGGAAAAGGCTTTGCTCAGAGACTATGGCAGATGGCTACTAAAGATCACTTCGTTTCATTTGTCATTTTATAGATTAAAAAACTGAGGTAGGCCGAGTGTGGTGGCTCACACCTGTAATCCCAGCACTCTGGAAGGCTGCGGCAGGCAGATCACAAGGTCAGGATATCAAGACCATCCTGGCTAACACGGTGAAACCTCATCTCTAAAAATACAAAAAACTAGCTGGGCGTGGTAGCGGGCGCCTATGGTCCCAGCCACTCTGGAGGCTGAGGCAGGAGAATGGCGTGAACCCGGGAGGCAGAGCTTGCAGTGAGCCGAGAGAGCACCACTGCACTCCAGCCTGGGTGACAGAGTGAGACTCCATCTCAAAAACAAAAACCAAACCAAAAAAAAAAAAAAACCCAAAAAAACCAAAAACAAAACAAAAACTGAGGTAGACTGGCTAAATTACTGAGATAGATGACTGCTCTATATCATTAGACTGCTCATTTTTTTTCCTTCCTTCGGTTCTGTTAAAAGAAAAAATTACAACAAATTTAGTTTACACATCTTAACTGGCTTTTAGTTCCAATTCTACAATTGGGCAATGCTTCATTCTATAAAATGGAATGAATGTTCCAATGAGAAGAGGAAGTTGATATTACAGACAGAAAAGGGCCAAGGAAAGCAGAAACAAAACGTGGATTAGTCGGTAGAAAGTCACTTTTCTTGTAAAGGTTAAACAACATGGGACTTCTTTACGTCAGCTAAAACTGGCCTGTTTGGGGATTTTTGTTTGAGACAGGGTCTTGCTCCAGTGGGCAGGCTGGCGTGCAGTAGTGGCACCATCTAACCTTACTACAGCCTCAACCTCCCAGGCTCAAGCAATCCTCCCTCCTCAGCCTCCCAAGTAGCTGGGACTACAGGCGCCTGCCACCACGCCCGGCATTTTTTTTTTTGGTAGAGACAGGGTATCACTATGCCTAAGCTGGTCTGGAACTCCTGAGCTCAGGCGATCCGCCCACCTTGGCATCCAAAAGTGCTGGTATTTCAGATGTGAGTCACCGCGCCCAACCTGTTTGGGGATCTGGTTAGCATCTCTGTTTCTCTCCTGATTTCTTGGAAATATCCTAGCTTTGGCGTGGTAGTTTGGAACTTCAGCATGAACAACCCCAATTTGGTTTGGTTTGATGTGCCTAATGCAGGAGCTTAGTCTAAACTAACGGCTTCCTATACATTTTATCTAACAGCTCTGTCACCCTTCCTGCACACCCGGGGAACTTGGGTGTGCAGCATTCTAACGTCTGCTCAGGATTCCACATTTTCTCCAGGCCCATAATCCGCTTGGCGGGCTTGTCTCGCCAAGCTCCGGCTCCGTGCGGGTGTGAGGCAGTGCCATGCCTGAGTGGGGAGGAGCCGCGGAAGAGAAAGCCTAAGGCGGAGTGGAAACGGGTGGGGCACGCTGGGACCCGCCCACATTTGTTCAGGGAGAGGCAGTCCCGAAAAACCTCTCAGGCACACGGCCTGGCACAGCAAGGCAGTCACACCAAGATGGGAAAAGAGGGCAGAAGAGCGCGAGGGGCTGGAGGTGGCGCCCCTGTGTCCCACTCGCTCTCCTTGGGTTGGGAAAGAGAAGCTGTCCCTCAGAAGCGCAGGCTGCGCTAGCTTAGGGTGGACGTGGGTAACGCTCAGCTGACTCCCCGCAGGCGCCCTATGCAGGGGTTTGTTTCTGGGCGGGACCCGCACCAGCGTGTAAGGAGAGTAGGAGAGATGTACGTGACCCCGGTGGTGCGCAGCCGCGCCCTATCGCCCAGACCACGCGCCGACGCCCCGCCCCGTCCGTGACGCGTTCGCGCGGGGCCTCCGCCCCATCCCCCTCCCGGGCGGGCGGCAGCGCGCTGCCTTCGCCGTTCCCCGCCCCCTTGCCTCTGAGGCTGCCCGGATAGCTGCCTGATCCAAGGCCCAGCAGCTTCTGCCTTTCCGATCCCCACCGACGGACGGAGGCAGCCCACCTGCAGGACCGTGGCGCTGTCGGTCCACGTGGCCGCTCCGGAGCAGGTTGGAGTTGGCAGCGGGCTGCGCTGCGGGCACAGGCGCGGCGGACAGCCCCGGGGGCAGCGGCGGGGTCCTGGCTGGGAGAGGACAGGGTTGCGGCGGGCGGAACGGTGTCTCCTTCACTTCGCCCTCCAGCCGCTGCAGCTGCAGCCCGACCGTGAGCGTGACGAGCGGCTTCAGCAGCTAGCGGAGCGGTGGCTGCGGCCCCCCTCAGGAGACCACCAGGTACCGCCGCGCCCGCCTCACGCCGACCCAGGGGCCTAGGCCGCTTCAGCCAAGCGGGAGGCCTGCGCCGGACTTGGGGTCGGCCCTGGCTTCCTAAGATGGCCGCGCTGCCCCGCGGCCCCTCGCCCCTCTCTGCCCGGGACCTCCCTTTGGCCCTTTGACCCCAGCTGACCGCACTTCTTGTCCCTCCCGCAGATTCCCCTCTTCCCACGGCCTCGCAATGGCGACCTACGGACAGACTTGCGCGCGGCGTAAGTAGAGCAGGGATCTCTGCCGGATGGGGCGGCGGGGAGTCGAAGCCTGTCGACCAGAAACCCGCAGTTTGTTTCCCTCTGTCTTTCCGAGGACTTGGAAATTCGGCTGCTTTTGGTGGTCGCCTTACCGTCTGACCACCTCTGCCGAGAAGGGGCTGGGCTGCTGGATTTCAAATAGGGGAACAAGGCCCGGGGAGTTGGTCTGTGGCCGCTTGGACTTTCAGCTTTTGTACGTGTCTTTGACGTACAGAAGTAAAAGTTATTAATTGGGGATTCCGCTTTGGAGGATGGGATCAGTCACTTTTCTAGAGGAAGTAGCAGTCCTTGTGAGAGCACAAGGTCATTACATGTGCTCCTAAGGGCGTGGACGTGCTTTGTGGAATGAATGAGCTGGTGTAATGAGCTCAGATTGCCTGCCCTTAAGCAGCACAGCATTGGCTAAGGACTTGAGAGTCATATTAGTAAGTTTGAAGCGCCATTTGATATTTAGTTGATACAGACATTTGAATGAAACACAGATGGCAGTATTTTTTCAAAGTTTCAATATTTAAATTCTCAGAGTATTAAGTTCTCTTCCCACTCCAGGATGTTGGTTTTCACCTCAGTGAAGATATTAAACGACGCATCAGGGACAGGGCCTAGTCTTAGGTTTTGATTTTATCTAATTTAGTTCAGTCAGCTCATCTTAGTGAATTTTGGCAGATACATATCCATGCACACAAATACTTGTTTCTTTGTACCTGTCCAGTCCTAGGAAGTGAGGCTGTAGGTAATAGACTGTTTTTCTATTTTGGAACGAATTTCCCAACTTTGTATAACCATGGTTATCTATTTTAGAAATAATTCGTTGGTGGTATCTCCTTTATAGGTCGTTATAGTTTTAGTGTAGCTCCTGACCAGATAAAAAACATAATTCCAACAAATGGGATTGCTTGAATTTTGATATCAGCAGTGGGTCATACTCTACTTCTTGGACAGAAGATGGGAGAATAGAGACATTAACACTGGAATGTTTTTTTCTACCAGCAATGTGTATTCCTCCATCATATGCTGACCTTGGCAAAGCTGCCAGAGATATTTTCAACAAAGGATTTGGTAAGAACCTTATTTTTAAAACGTGTTAGATAAAGGGTGAAAATGTATGTTTGGGTTGCTTAGTAAAATCAGATTAATCGTTGCAAATTGCAAATATCTTGCTGCTTTAAATTTAGACTTACTTATTTTTTTGAGCCTGTTGCCCAGGCTGGACGCAGTGGCACGATCATACCTCACTGCAGCCTGGACCTCCTGGACTCAAGCGATCATCTTTCCTCAGCCTCCCAAGTCCCAAGTAGCTGGGACTACAGGCACACTCTGCCACACTTGGCTAATTTTTTTATTTTTCGTAGAGGTGGCGTCTCACTGTGTTACCCAGTAAACACAGTGGCCTCTCAAAGCCTGGTTGGATTACATTATAGGCATGAGCCACTGTGCCCAGCCTTGTTTTAATTCTTCTGTTAGAAACTTAAGATGCTTACATTAAACTTCTGTGAAAATAGTTCTTTTACAGTCTACATCCCCCTCCCCCAATTTCCCAAAATTTTTTAAAACTGTAGTTAGAGGATTTGAGCCTTTAAGAAAAAGCGACTTGTGCTTTAATTTTTTTCAGTTATAGCTTAGGTCTTGGTTGACTAGAGTTATGATATATTACTGTGTTGCTTTTGTGGTGACTCCTAGTACTTTCCAGAGTTATGAGCTTTTTCAGGTAAATTTGAGTTTTTTTTAAGATTTTGTTCCATACCATCCCCCCCTTTATTTAGATTGTTGGAAATACCCCATTGCTGTATTATGATAAATTGGTTTTGTTTTTGTTTTTGTGTTTTTTTGAGACAGAGTCTCGCTCTGTTGCCCAGGCTGGAGTGCAGTGGCGTGGTCTTGGCTCACTGTAGCCTCTGCCTCCTGGGTTCCAGCAATTCTCCTGCCTCAGCCTCTCTGGTAACTGGGATTACAGGCATGCGCCACCATGCCTGGCTTTTTTTTTTTTTTTTTGCATTTTTAGTAGAGATGAGGTTTCACCATGTTGGCCAGGCTGGTTTTGAACTCCTGATCTCAAGTAATCCACCCACCTTAACTTCCTGAAGAGCTAGGATTCCAGGCATGAGCCACCGCACCCAGCCATATCATGATAAGTTATTAGCTATTCTGAGATTTAAGTTGAATGGTTTTTAAATCTGATATTTAAGAATAGTTTGGGGGCTGGGCGTGTTTGCTCTCGCGTATAATCCTAGCACTTTCGGAGGTGGAGGTGGGCAGATCATGAGATCAGGAGATTGACACCATCCTGGCTAACATGATGAAACCCCATCTCTACTAAAAATGCAAACAATTAGCCGGATGTGGTGGCACGCACCTGTAGTCCCAACTACTCGGGAGACTGAGGCAGGAGAATCGCTGGAACGTGGGAGGCGGAGATTGCAGTGAGCCGAGATCGTGCCATTGCACTCCAGCCGGGGCGGCAGAGTGAGACTCTGTCTCAAAAAAAAAAAGAACAGTTTGAAAGCATTCTTTTGTGTACCAACTACCAAAAAACTAGACAAAGCAGCATAGGGATAATTCTGCCCTTTATAAGCCAGTTTACAAAAGATGAATTTGTAACAATTTCATTTAAATATTGTATATTAACACATTTTTATCCACCTCTGAATATGTGGAATCTTTTTTTATTTATGTATAGTCAACAATTGCTATGCATCTTTCATACAAAATAATCATTTTGTTTCTTTTGCTCTCTATTTGTTGAAGGTTTTGGGTTGGTGAAACTGGATGTGAAAACAAAGTCTTGCAGTGGCGTGGTGAGTGTTACTGTTGAATAAGTTTTATTGAACCTTTATACCCCAATTTTTCAACTCGTAAAATGGTCATAAGTGAAAGATGTCTACCTGTTTTAAGAAGAGGCGGAAGTTAAGTTTAAGAGATTTGCTTGTAACCTGATTTATTTTGGTCTTGAATGTGATTTCTGATTTTCATGTGGTCTTTTGTCGTGTTATGTATGTACAAGGAACTTAGGAAAGACCAGTCAGGTGGTATTCTTTACTCAGTAAGATTACACATTTGAAAGCAGGGAACCCATGAGACTTTTTTGTAACCCTTTGTCAACAATGCTCGTCAGTTATGGGCATAAAATTATCAGGAACTCATTAATCATTTATATAATGTGCACTAATCATTTATATAATGTCCATTTTCTAGAAGTTCTCCCTGGAGAAGATTTCCACATGTATTTTGTGAGTTTAGGGAGTCCTGATCTGAATTTTTTTTTGAGATGGAGTCTCACTCTGTCACTTAGACTGGTGTGCAGTGGTGTGATCGTGGCTCGCTGCAACCTCTGCCTCCTGAGTTCAGGTGTTTCTCCTGCCTCAGCCTCTCTAGTGGCTGGAATTACAGGTGCCCACCACCCTGCCTGACTGATTTTCATATTTTTAGTAGAGCTGGGGTTTCACCATGTTGGCCAGGCTGGTCTCCAACTCTTGACCTCAGGTGATCCACCCACCTCGGCCCCGGAGAGTGCTGGGATTACAGGTGTGAGTCACCATGCCCGGCCAAGACTTTTTTTTGTTTTTTTGAGATGGAGTCTCACTCTGTTGCCCAGGCTGGAGTGCAGTGACACGGCTTGGCTCACTGCAACCTCCGCCTCCCAGGTTCATGCCATTCTCCTGCCTCAGCCTCCCGATTAGCTGGTACTGCCACCATGCCCAGCTAATTTTTGTATTTTTAGTAGAGACAGGGTTTCACTATGTTGGTCAGGCTGGTCTTGAACTCCTAACCTTTTGATCCGCCCGCCTCAGCCTCCCAAAGTGCTGGGATTATAGGCGTGAACCACTGTGCCTGGCCAAGAATATTTTTTAAAGAGGTTAATATTTTGGTATTTTGGTGTCTTGATAGTTGAGTGAACTGTTACAAAGGGGATAAAGTAAAATTTAACTTTCTTTGAGACAGGGTCTCACTCTGTTGCCCAGACTGGAGTGCAGTGGCACAGTCTCAGCTCACTGCAGCCTCAAGCAATCTTCCCACGTCAGCCGCCCAAGCATCTGGGAGTATAGGCCCTATCATCATGCCTGAGTATTTTTTATAGTTTTTCTAGAGATGACGTTTTGCCGTGTGGCCCAGGCTGGTCTTGAACTCCTGAGCTCAAGTGATCCACCTGCCTTGGATTGACCTCCCAAAGCGCTGGGATTACAGATGTGAGCCACCATGCCCAGCTAGTAAAATTTAACTTTGTGCAATTTTTTTTACTCTAAAAATTTTTGTTTTGAGATTATTTCGGGGTGGGTATAAGTGTGTGCATATTAGAATACTATAGGTTATTTTGATGTACGTATGTGTGTGTATATATATAGAGAGAGAGAGACTTTTTTTTTTTTTGAGACTGAGTCTCGCACTGTCACCCAGGCTGGAGTGCAGTGGCATGATCTCGGCTCACTGCAAGCTCCATCTCCCAGGTTCACGCCATTCTCTTGCCTCAGCCTCCTGAGTAGCTGAAACTACAGGCACTGGCCACCACCACACCCATCTAATTTTTTTGTGTTTTTAGTAGAGACGGGGTTTCACCATGTTAGCCAGGATGGTCTCGATCTCCTGACCTCGTGATCTGCCCGCCTCAGGCTCCCAAAGTGCTAGGATTACTGGCATGAACCACCATGCCTGGCCTGTATAGACATTTTTGATGTAGTGCATACAACTGATATTTATTTAAATTAATCGTATTGTGGTTTCTTTCTTTGTCCCCCCCTCCCCCCCCCCCACCGAGACGCAGTCTTGCTCTGTCGCCCAGGCTGGAATGCAGTGGCATGATCTCAGCTCACTGCAACCTCCACCTCCCAGGTTCAAGCGATTCTCCTGCCTCAACCTCAGCCTCCCAAGTAGCTGGGATTACAGGTGCTTGTCACCATGCCCTGCTAATTCTTGTATTTTTAGTAGAAACAGGGTTTTGCCATGTTGGCCAGTCTGGTCTCAAACTCCTGACCTCAAGTGATTCGAAAGTGCTGGGATTGCAGGCGTGAGCCACAGCGCTCGGCCTGTAGTTGTTTAAAAGCCTAGGCCTGTTGGATTTCTGGGGTTTTACATTGATCGTATCTGTCACTTGTTTTCTTTGGTCTGAAAGGAAGCCTAGGTGTTTAGTTATGATTGAATGACTTATTTCGCCAAGTTAACAGGTTACAGCGCAGTGATTTAGTGTGTTTTTTAATGTTCCTATTGTTAGTCTATTGAGGCCCCTAGCGTATTTGTTGAAACACAAAGGGCCTTCTAAAAAAGACTCAGTCCTCGTGTTTAAAAAGCTTACTTTCTAGTTGGAGAGAGAAAATAAACTGAGAATACTGAGATAATTAATATCAAATACTAGATTGTTTGATAAACCAAGTCTTTGTTGGAAAGGAATAGATTATTGTGTATAGGGTTAGGGAAAGTTTTATGGAAGTAGGTTTAAGAGCATGAAGGATGTATAGGAGCTGGATTAGATGTAGCATGTTTTTACTCACATTTAATACATGTAATTGAACAGCCGTGGTATTGATCCTGTAGTTTGTCTCTGGCCCCGGATAAGTCCCATTAATACCTGGCTCTGTTTTCTTACCTGAACTGCAAAGCTACTGAGGCCGCCCCAGAATGTAGAAGCCAAAATGTCTGGTGGTAAAGGGCATGAGCTGTAATCTGGCCCAACTCTGGTCCCACAGGGTGGTATTGGCTTTGTTTCTTGAGGCTTCCTTGGCATGTGTATATAGGCTGGCTCTTGATCTATGGGCTGATGGATGGCAGTGGGTGGGGCCCCAAGAGTCATTAATGTCATTCAGGATTAAAAATAGCTACTCACACATTCCCCATTCAAACTATCTGCTAGAAGAACCTGTTCCATGTATATTGTTTTAATAATGCTTTCCTTTTCTGCGGAGCATATGAAAATGTACAAACTTTCACAGTATCAGTTCAATTTAATCATCCGGAGGTAAGCTTTGTAATTATAGTTGCAGAAACAGACCCAAAAAAGGTAAGTGAGGCTGGTCACAGTGGCTCATTCCTGTCATCCCAGCGCTTTGGGAGGCCAAGGCAGGAGGATAATTTGAGCCCAGGAGTTCTGAGACTAACCTGGGCAACATAGCGAGACCCCGTCTCTACAAAAAAATTTAAAAATTTGCTGTGCTTGTTGGTGGGCACCTGAAGTCCCAGCTATTTGGGAGGCTGAGATAGCAGGATCGCTTCGCTTCAGCCCAGGAGTTTGAGGCTGCAGTGAGCTGTGCCTGTGGCACTGTACTCCAACCTGGGCGACAGTGAGACCCTGTCTCCAAAAAAAAAAACAAAACAAAAAGTGTGTCCTGCCCAGTGTGATGTGTTTAGTAAATGACATGAAGAACTAGACATCAGAACTCCCAATTTTTATATCCAGTGTTCTTTCCTAACAGGATCCAGTGCTTTTTTTTTTTTTTTTTGAGATGGAGTCTCGCTCTGTCACCCAGGTTGGAGTGCAGTGGCGCGATCTCAGCTCACTGCAAGCTCTGCCTCCTGGGTTCGTACCATTCTTCTGCCTACAGGTGCCCACCCCCACACCCAGCTAATTTTTTGTATTTTAATAGAGATGGGGTTTTACCGTGTTAGCCAGGATGGTCTCCATCTCCTGACCTCGTGATCTGCCCGCCTCGGCCTCCCAAAGTGCTGGGATTACACGCGTGTGCCACTGTGCCTGGCCAATCCAATGCTTTTTTTTTTTAATTGGAGATGGAGTCTCACTCACTCCATCACCAAGTTAGAGTGCTGTGGCACCATCTTGGCTCACTGCAACCTCAGGCTCTCGAGTTCAAGTGATTCTCCTGCCTCAGACTACTGAGTGCTGGGATTACAGGGATGCACCACCATGCCTGGCTAATTTTTGTATGTTTAGTAGAGATGGGGTTTCACCATTTTGGCTAGGCTGGTCTCAAACTCCCTACCTCAAGTGATTGTCCCGCCTCAGCCTCCTGAAGTGCTGGTATTACAGGTGTGACCCACTGTGCCCAGCCAATCCAGTGCTTTTTAGTGTAGGTATTGAGGGCTATGCTTTGACTTGAAATTCCTGTTAATGAAAGGATCTAATTTAGGAGAGTATATATAAGACCTGAGGATTTGTCTCTATCAGCAGAGCAATAGTTATACAAACGTTCTATTTTCTGAGAGAAGGATGACTGCCCTTTCCTCCTGTTGATACAGTTTTTGATATTTCTCACTCTGCAGATACCACAATTTCTGGCTGTAGTCTCTTTATTATTTTCACATCAGCTGTCTTCCTTAGGCATGGCGTGGTGATGCTTGTGATCCCAGCTACTCAGGAGGCTGAGGTATGTGGATCACTTGAGCCTGGGAGGTTGAGGCTGCAGCGAGCTGTGATCACACACCACTGTGCTCCAGCTTGGGTGACAGAGGCAAGATGCTGTCTCAGACAGACAAACAAAAATTCAGATAAGCCCTCCATATTTTTTCTTTTTCAGTTCGTGTGCAACCAGGGATTGGCACATTATTATTTTTAGACAGGGTCTCACTGTGTCACCCATGCTGAGTGCAATGGTGGGATTATGGCTCACTGCAACTTGGACCTCCCAGGCTCAAGCAATCTTCCCACCTTGGCCTCCTGAGTAGCTGGGACTACAGGTGCACACCACCACGCTGAGCTGGTTTCTTAATTTTTGTAGAGATGGCGTCTTGCTATGTTGCCCAGGCTGGTCTCTAAGTGCTGGGATCATAGGCGTGAGCTGCCACTCTCAGTTTCCCGCTGACTTTTGAATCCCAAATAAAATCACCTTAGCAAAACCTTCCTTAAAAGATGTACAGTTGGCTGGGCGCAGTGGCTCAGGTTTGTAATCCGAGCACTTTGGGAGCCCGAGATGGTGGATCACCTGAGGTCAGGAGTTGGAGACCAGCCTGGCCAACATAGTGAAACCCCATCTCTACTAAAAATACAAAAATCAGCTGGGCGTGGTGGCGGGCACCTGTAATCCCAGCTACTTGGGAGGCTGAGGCAGGAGAATCACTTTAACCTGGAAGGCGGAGGTTGCAGTAAGCCGAGATCATGCCACTGCATTCCAGCGTGGCGACAGAGCGGGACTCGGTCTCAAAAAAAAAAAAAAAATGGGGGTGTACAGTTTGTTTACTTGAGAATTCACTACAGATGAACTTGTGATTGATTAGAAGTGTCAGCTGTATGTAAAGTGGCAGTCAGTTGCTCAAAGGCTTGTCACTCTTATATAAGCTTCAGAGAGTAGCACAGTGCAGAGGGATACGAGTGTTCAGGAACCTAGAAAAAGGAGGATTCATGAATTTACCAAATGTTTCAGCGGGTTTGTGTGTGTGTGTGTGTGTGTGTGTTTGTAAGTTAGTGATGAATTCTAGGCTTATGAGAATGTTCATGAAGTTATTGATTGTCTTGTTAGGAATTTTCAACGTCTGGTTCATCTAATACAGACACTGGTAAAGTTACTGGGACCTTGGAGACCAAATACAAGTGGTGTGAGTATGGTCTGACTTTCACAGAAAAGTGGAACACTGATAACACTCTGGGAACAGAAATCGCAATTGAAGACCAGGTAACATTTTGAAAATTTTAGTATTAATTTTATTAATTATTTTTGTATTTCAAAAAAAGAAAGCAAATTACTTTTCTTTCAAAATAGATTTGTCAAGGTTTGAAACTGACATTTGATACTACCTTCTCACCAAACACAGGGTAAGCACAGACATTTTTATCTGTATTACATTTAAAAGCATTTCTCTTTTGTGTATTTAGAAAAGGTGTACCTTTACTGTTTGATAGCTTATTAAGCTACCTTGTGGTGGTGAAATCTCTGTATCTGCTTTTATTTATTTATTTGAGATGGAGTCTTCTCTGTGTCACCCAGACTGGAATGCGGTGGCATCATCTTGGCTCACTGCAACCTCCACCTCCCAGGTTCAAGCGATTCTTCTGCCTCAGCCTCCCTGAGTAGCAGGGACTACAGGCGCACGCCACCACGCCCAGCTAATTTTTGTATTTTTAGTAGAGGTAGGGTTTCGCCTTGTTGGCCAGGCTGTTCTGGAACTAATGACCTCAGGTGATCTGCCTGCGTTGGCCTCCCAAAATGGTGGGATTACAGGCATGAGTCACCGCACCTGGCCATTTTTTTTTTTTTTTTCATATTTTATTGCATCTATTTTATTTTGTTTTGTTTTGTTTTGTTTTATTTTATTTATTTTTATTTATTTTTATTTTTATTTGAGACAGAGTCTCACTCTGTCACCCAGGCTGGAGTGTAGTGGCGTGATCTTGGCTCACTGCAGCCTCCGCCTCCCGGGTTCAAGTAATTCTACTGCCTCAAACTCCTGAGTAGCTGGGATTACAGGCAGTGTGCCACCACGCCCGCCTAATTTTTGTATTTTTAGTAGAGACAGGATTTCACCATGTTGGTCAGGCTGGTCTTGAACTCCTGACTTTGTGATCTGCCTGCTGTGGCCTCCCAGAGTGCTGGGATTACAGGTGTGAGCCACCGCTCCCAGCCTATTTATTTATTCTCTGTCACCCAGGCTGGAGTGCAATGGTGCAATCTTGGCTCACTGCAATCTTTGCTTGCTGGGTTCAAGCGATTCTCCTGCCTCAGCCTTCTGAGTAGCTGGGATTACAGGCATGTGCCACCATGCCTGGCTAATTTTTTTTTTGTATTTTTAGTAGAGATGGGGTTTCACCATGCTGGCCAGGCTGGTCTTGAACTCCTGACCTTAGGTGATCCACCCGCCTCAGCCTCCCAAAGTGCTGAGATTTTAGGCGGGAGCCACCATGCCTGGCCTGTATCTGCTTTTAGAATACTATGGTTGCTATCATTGGCTTGCCTTCCAATATTTGCCTCTTCGTTGTTGCACTAACTTGGGCAATTAATGTGTTTCTAACAGGCTTTTGTGAATGATTGTTAATTCTGCAAAGCAGTTCTAGATGGCCATCCAGTTGCCTCATGTGTCCTTGTCTTGTAGTTCATTGAGATGATTTTTTTACTCCGTTATTGTATTACTGGTTTTTACTCCCTGGTCATACTGCAGTTCATTTAAGTCTGTTTTGTGCTCTCTTGTGCATAAGTGTGTGTACATTTTTCCCAGTGACGTCAGTTTGTTCTTTTTCCAGAAAGAAAAGTGGTAAAATCAAGTCCTCTTACAAGAGGGAGTGTATAAACCTTGGTTGTGATGTTGACTTTGATTTTGCTGGACCTGCAATCCATGGTTCAGCTGTCTTTGGTTATGAGGGCTGGCTTGCTGGGTACCAGATGACCTTTGACAGTGCCAAATCAAAGCTGACAAGGAATAACTTTGCAGTGGGCTACAGGACTGGGGACTTCCAGCTACACACTAATGTGTAAGTATTTCTTTCATAGGATACTGTGATGTAGGCCCTCAGAGGATGATTTTGATGTCTGTCATCTCTTATTGATCTGAGTGCACCCTAAAGGATTTCTCTTAACATTTAAAAACAAAATCATTCTTGGTCATTTCTAGGGTGCCCCTTGAAAGCTTATAGTAAAAGAATGTTAATCTGACCTTTGGTGCTGAGAGAGTAAATGTTCATTTTATATGGGGTTTAATGCACTTTGTATTTTACACGAGGCATTAGATATTGGCAGACTGCTACCAGTATATTCATTTTAAAAGATGTGTGGGATGCTGACGTGATAGGATTGCCTAAAATGTATGGTGTTTTGTTGTTGGGTTTTTTTTTTCTTTCTTTTTTTTTTTTGTTGAGACAGAGTTGCTCTGTGGCGATCTCAGCTCACTGCAACATCCACCTTCCGGGTTCAAACAGTTCTCCTGCCTCAGCCTCCCAAGTAGCTGGGACTACAGGCGCATGCCACCACGCCCGGCTAATTTTTGTATTTTGGTAGAGACGGAGTTTCACCATGCTGGTGAGGCTGGTCTGGAACTCCTGACCTCTTGATCTGCCCACCTCCCAAATTGCTGGGATTACAGGCGTGAGCCACTGTGCCCAGCTGCTGCTGCTGTTTTTTTGTTTGTTTTGTTTGTTTTTAATTATTTTTATAGAGATGGGGTCTTGCTATGTTGCCCAGGCTTGTCTCAAACTCCTGACCTCAAGCGATCCTCCTGCCTCCACCTAAAGTATTGAGATTATCGGCGTGAGCCACTACATCCAGCCTGGTGTTTTTACCTAAGCCCAAACTAGATAGATATATGAAAAGTACTTAAAATGTTTTTCTTTCCATTGTAAAAATTTATTGGTAAATAACAAGCACAAAGAAGAAAACCTACATTTCTCGTAATCATGCCAGCTAGGTATATAATCTTTGTTAACGTTGTGATGGTTCACCTTTTTATATGTGTGTGTATATATATGTGTTTATGAAATACATAACCAAAAGGCTGTATGGGAATCTCTTGTATGTTTAATACAGTGTGATAATTCCACTGAATGGATATTCTGTGGTTCATTTTACCAGTCCCTGTATGGGTATGGGTTGGGGAAAAAAACCTGTTAAAACTTGCAAGTTTTCAGTGGAACACTAAAGACCCACTTGAGCTGTGGTTTTTATTTAAATGTAATGCTACAAATCAGCCTGTGCCTTAGACATTATTACGTTGTCTATTCTAGATCTACTAATTTAAAATATCTTACAGGAATGATGGGACGGAATTTGGAGGATCAATTTATCAGAAAGTATGTGAAGATCTTGACACTTCAGTAAACCTTGCTTGGACATCAGGTACCAACTGCACTCGTTTTGGCATTGCAGCTAAATATCAGTTGGATCCCACTGCTTCCATTTCTGTGAGTACTTTTGTGGACTTAGAAGGGGGTTTTGGTTGTGGGAATGAGTCTTTGGGTATACTGAATTATGTTGAAAATTTGAACTGATTTCACACAGTCCCCACTTTACAGATAGATTGGCTTTAAATTTTGAAATGTTGCTTTTTTGATGAATACAGTGTTAGATGTTTTATTTCCAGGCCAGGCCCGTGGAGTTTGTTTAATCTCAAAAACTGCCAAGTTAATGTTGATGATAACCTTGAGCCATAGGCCTGTCTAAACCCAGGTATAGCTGGTGTTTTGGTCCCTGGGTAGTTCTTACCGTGTCAGAAATAATAGTGCTTTAATCTTTTTTTTTTAAGGCTCTCTTTTGTCCAGGCTGGACTGCAGTGGCATAATCATGACTCCCTGCATTTTTTTAAGGCTCTCTTTTGTCCAGGCTGGACTGCAGTGGCACAATCATGACTCCCTGCAGCCTTGACATTCTGGGTTCAACCTCAGCCTCCTACTATTCCCAATTAATTTTTTGATGTTTTTTTGTAAGGATGGGATTTCCATATGTTGCCCATCCTAGGCTCAAGCTGTCATCCTGTCTCAGCCTCCCAAAGGAGGCTGTTGGGATTACAGGCATGAGCCACTGCACCTGGCTAGTATTTTAATCATCACTTTGTCTTTTTTTTTTTTTTGAGATGGAGTCTCACTCTGTCGCCCAGGCTGGGGTGCAGTAGTGCGATCTTGGCTTACTGCAAGCTCCACCTCCTGGGTTCAAGCAGTTCTTCTGCCTCAGCCTCACCAGTAGCTGAGATGACAGGTGCCCACCACCACACCTGGCTAATTTTTTTGTATTTTTTAGTAAAGACGGGATTTGTTGGCCAGACTTGTCTCAAACTCCTGACCTCAAGTGATCCACCCGCCTCAGCCTCCGAAAGTGCTGGGATTACAGGCATGAGCCACCACGGCTGGCCCCCTTCTCCATTTCTAATTGCACTACAGCAATAAAAACCTCAGGATTCATACAGCACACTATTCTGTTATTTGCATTGATGTCTGTGACATTTTAACAGATTTAATGTCAGTGGAAGAAGCTTATCTCAGCTACTAGGAGTTCATAGTTAAAATGGGAAGGCAGGTTGGGACCTCTGTGTCATTTAGTGACTTCTGGGAATTAGTTTGGAAACGTACCTAGCCTTTCCCACTTAGTAATGTTAGCTGCTACTCCAATTCAGCAGTACCCAGAAGCATTGCTTAATGCTCCTTGTGATATTAGGAAGTATATATTTGGTTTTTCTTCCCTCTCCTGGCATAGAACTCCTAAAAAATCCTTGGAATCCCCAAAGTGTTAAGTATCTTTTTGTATGCTAATGAGTTGACTGGTGTGGGAGCTGGCCAGTGGAGAGACCAAGGTGTGATTAGAGGGTGGTGGGGAGAGGGACTGAAGGTTAAGTTGTTCACCAATGGCTAGTGGTTTAATCAGTCATGCCTATATAATGAAGCCTCGTGAAAACCCACAAGGACAGAGGTCAGTGAGCTGGGTAGCTGAGGTTGCTGGAAGGTGGCATGCCTGGAGAGGGCATTGAAGCTGTGTCCTTTCCTATGTTTTGCACTATACGTCTCTTCATCTGTATCCTTTGTAATATCCTTTATTAAAATTGGTAAATGTAAATACAATATTTCTTGAGTTCTGTGACCTGCTCTAGGAAATTAATTGAACCCAAGGGAGGGGCTTGTGGGAACCTCTAGAGCTGCCAGGTCAGAAACAGTTAAAACAATCTAGGGCTTGCAGTTGGCATCTGAAGTGGGAGGAGGGCAGTCTTGTGGGACTGAGCCCTTAACCTGTGGCATCTGATGTCTCCAGGATAGAATTGAATTGAATTACAGGACATTTAGCCAAATGTCTGCTGCAGAAATTATTGCTTGCTTAGTGTGTGGGGAAAGCCCTCACACATGTCACAGAAACATTCTGTGTTGTGAGAGAATGGTAGGAGAAACTGAGTTGGTTTTTTTCTGTATCCTCAGATGTCAGGATTGGGATTTGCTAGAGTGGCTCTAGCTAGAGTGGCTCATCGAAGCATGGTTTAGGAAGAAAAAGGATAAATGGATGGGGAATGAGGAACTTTTGACCCCTGGGTGGTCAGGTGGTCACCCCTACTATGGAGCCACAACTGTGCTGTGCTCAGGTACCTAAAAATTACCAGTGGAATTTGGAGATAGATCCAACTGCCAGGGAGTTGGTTCACTGGGTGCATAAGGGGAAGTGCAAACAATAAGAAACAAAATATATAAGTCCTTGATTATTGTTATTTGTAATCACTAAAATCAAAGTGAAAGAGTGCTGGATTGTACCTTGATGCTAGACCAAACTCAGATTTCATTTGGCTTAAGCCTTGGCCACCAACCTCGGGCAAAGTACCCCTAAGACCTGTATTTGCTGTATTTTGCCCAATTTGGAGAAATTTAAAAAGTCAGAAGTCAGAGATTACATTGAGAAATGTGATCTGAAATTGCCTGGGACAGTAATCAGGCTTATCAAGATAAAGCTGACAAATGGGGAAGGGTAGATTTCTGTTGGGAAGGCAAAGCAAGTGTCTCTAATTCTTACTGATTTGTAACGAAACTGATTTTTTTTTGTACCATGCTCATACTGCCATATGGTAATACTGTTGGCAAGATTAAACTCCCTTGTGTAAATAAGTCTTATAATACGGATTGATGATCATATGTGAAATTGAGTTGAAGCCGCCTCAGGATGTAACACCTATGGAAAGTGACTGGCCTGAGGAGGAAATGGATCTCACTATCAGCTGATTTCTGTCCTGAATAGTTCTGCACAAGGTACAAATAACAGTAGATCAAGGGGGAAAAAGCTGGTAGAAGAAGATAAAGATGTTTCTAATGGCTTCTGTGAACCTAAAGGAAGAAACTAAGGCACAAAATACAATTTTAAAGAATTTACTTGCACCATAATGAGGACAGCTGCCCAGCAGACCCAGATCCAAGTGGATTTGCGCTCCATTTGGCCTTTGTTACAAACAGGTTTTTAAAGGCCAAAAATCCAGGACAGGATGTGGGCCGATACAAAGTTGTTTGGCAGGAATTCTCTTTGGTTTACAGAAATAACATTGATTAGTGATTGGCTATACATTGTTCTTTGTATCACAGATTCCAGGAATTCATGTTATACAATGTTAGATAATGGGTGAGGGTCACATTGTGCAACTTGCAGTAACACTTTAGATATTTACTAGCTAGCCTGGAAACTACAAGGAAGAAAAAAAAGAAAAAATGTTTTTAAACAATTTCCCCTGGGCATGGGGGTGTGTCCTGTGACTAAAGTCTCATTCTCACGTCTCTCTGGGCCTGATAAATTTTGCATACCTCACATTCCTCATACTGCTGAGCTATTTTTTTTTTCTCTTCATAGGACAAATTAGGTTTTTAAAATTTTTTTGAGATGGAATCTCTTGTCATCTAGGCTGGAGTGCAGTGGTGTGATCCTGGCTCACTGCAACCTCCACCTCCTGGGTTCAAGCCATTCTGGTGCCTCAGCCTCCCGAGTAGCTGGGATTATAGGTGCGGTGCCCGCTATCACGCCTGGCTAATTTTTGTATTTTTAGTAGAGATGAGGTTTCGCCATGTTGGCCAGGCTGTTCTCAAACTCCTGACCTCTGGTGATCTGCCCGCCTCAGCCTCCCAAAGTGCTGAGATTACAGACGTGAGCCCCCGCGCCTGGCCTAGTTGTTTCTTTAAACCTATCCCTATCCCACAGTAGCTTCTCCAGATGATAAGCATATTTGTGTTTGTACTCTTGCAGATACGTGTGTTACATAAATGTAACAAGTGTAAACATCCTTGACAGATATATGGACTTTTTTGCTCTAAGGGATCCCTGTTTGAAACCAGGGGGTGGCCTATGATACTATGGTGTATATATTTTGGTTTTTGTCCAGTTCCTGGCTCACAGCTTCTGTAACCCTTGTAATTTCCCAAGTGACTAGAGCAGTAGGAGTATCTTTTGTTGAGATATTTGGCCATTTGTCCTTGGTTCCTGAAACAGCTCCAGAGCATAAAAGTGAAAGAGTCTTGTGGTTTTTTTTTTTTTTTAGATGAAATCTTGCTGTCACCCAGGCTGGATGGAGTGCAGTGGCACCATCTCTGCTCACTGCAAAGTCCGCTTCCCAGGCTCAAGTAGTTCTCATGCCTCAGCCTACCTAGTAGCTGGGATGACAGGTGCCTGCCACCACGCCCAGCTAATTTTTGTATTTTCAGTACAAATGAGGTTTCACCATGTTGGCCAGGTGGGTCTCTAACCCCTGACCTCAGGTGATCCCCCTGCCTTGGCTCCCAAAGTGCTGGGGTAACAGGCACGAGCCACTGTGCCCTGGGCTATTTTGTTACTTTTAACGGGTCCTTTTCAACCACATCCGAACTTATGTTAATGAGGTGGTTGTTGGATAGTCCCTAGATGACCACATGGTAGGGGGTGCTGGTTGCTAGGGAACAAACCTTCCTTGGGGACGGCATAGTAGCTAAAGGTTGAGCCAGTGACCAGTGATTTAATTAGTCGTGCCTTTGTAATGAAGTCTCCATAAAAACCCAGAGGACTGAGTTCAGGGGGCCTTCAGGAAGGTAAACAATAATACATTCATGTCATGGGAGGATGGGGCACCCCAGCTTCACAGGGATGGAAGCTCCTGTGCTTGGGACCCTTCCAGACCTCACCTATAAAGGAAAAGATACATAAGTATCTTTTCATCTGGCTGTTCATTTACATCCTTTAAAATATTCTATGTAACTGGTAAATGTGTTTCCCTGAGTTCTCTGTGCCACTCTGGGAAATTGAACCCCAGGGAGTTGTGGGAACCCCGATTTATAACCAGTCTGTAAGAAACAGAGGCAAAACAATCTGGAACTTTCAATTGGCATTGAAAATGAGGGCGGGGCAGTTTTATGAAACTGAGCGCTGAACCTGTGTGATCCAATGCTCTCTCCAGATGGTATCAGAATCGAATTAGAGAACATCTAGCTGGAATCTGCTGCAGAATTGTTTGCTTGATGTGTGGGAAATTCTCCCTAGGCCTTGTGAGAGTATAGAGGGAGAAACTGAGTTTAAAATAATAGGAATTTTTTTTTTTTTTTTTTTTTTTTTTGAGACAGAGTCTCACTTTGTCACCCTGGCTGGAGTGCAGTGGTGCGATCTCTGCTCACTGCAACCTCTGCTCACTGCAACCTCTGCCACCGGGATTCAAGTGATTCTCCTGCCTTAGCCCCCTGAGTAGCTGGGATTATAGGTGCCTGCCACTGTGCCTGGCTAATTTTTGTAGTTTTAGTAGAGATGGGGTTTCACCATCTTGGCCAGACTAGTCTTGAACTCCTGACCTTGTGATCCTCCCAAAGTGCTGGGATTACAGGCGTGAGCCACTGAGTCTGGCCAATAGTAGGAATTTCTTTTTTTTTTGAGATGGGAGTCCCACTCTGTCGCCGAGCGTAGAGTGCAGTGGTGCAATCTCAGCTCACTGCAAACTCCGCCTTCTGGGTTCATGCCCCGGCTAATTTTTTGTATTTTTAGTAGAGACGGGGTTTCACCGTGTTAGCCAGGATGGTCTTGATTTCCTGACCTTGTGATCTACCCGCCTCGGCCTCCCAAAGTGCTGGGATTACAGGCGTGAAACATTGCGCCGGCCAATAATAGGAATGTCTGTTCAGCTGTCTGAGGCTCTTATTTGTAGGGCACAGGATGGTCATTAGTGAGGTATTTTTTTTTCTTTTCTTTTTCTTTTCTTTTGCTTTGTGTTGCCTAGGCTGGAGTTCACTAGTGCAACCACAGCTCACTGTACCCTCAGCCACCTGGGCTCAAGAGATCCTTCCATCTCACCCCTGCTTCCCCGATAGTTGGGTAGGTGTGCACTATCCTGCCAAGCTAGAAAAATTTTGTACAGACAGACAGGGGTCTCACTGTGTTTCTCAGGCTGTTGTTGAATTCCTGGGCTCAAGTGATCCTCCCGCCTTGGCCCCCAAAGTGCTGGGATTACTGGTGTCAGCCACTGCACCAGGCCTGTTTTTTGTTTTAGATGGTCATTGGTAGCTCATGAATATTTGGCTGTAGTGCCAAGTGAATACAGGTGTTGTGGATGTGGTTTGTGTCTGTATAGTTACATCATTCCTTTCTCTGGATTGGGCTCTTTGGATGTTACACATTATAAGACTATAGACATCAAATCATTTGGAGATCTGTTTTGGTCACATAGGCTGTTTGTTACCTTTATACAGTAGCCTCAGAATGCTGAAAGCAAAGCAAAGTTGCGTGTCTAGGCAACCTACGCCCTAGAAATGAAGGGAGGTGTTCCTGGCCTCTGGTGTGGCTTCATAATGTTAGGGGTGGTAGAGAATGGAACTAGAAGGAATCTACTCCTTACTATGTCTTACTCTTCAGGGTTCCTTCCAGCCCTTGAAGTCTGTAAGTCCTGAAATGTTAGGATTGTGCAAGGAAGGCAGGGGCCTGGATGGGTACATGATACCTCACTGGGACCTCCTCCCAAGCACAGTGGTTACATACAGCCAGAACTCAGCGGCACTGGCATTCATGAGAGGTGCGAGAATGTGAGGATAAAGGATTGTTTGATCTGATTCTTCAGAGGAATTACTTGTTCGGAGATTTTTTTTTTTTTTAACATTGATGGTTTTGGTTCTTTAGGAAGAGTCCTGAAAGTAGGAAAGTTTACATGTGTGTAACTAAGTCATGAATTTAAACTTTATACCCTGCACTTTAAGGCTGCTGTGTGTCACCTTTAGTGAGCCTGATTTGTACCACATTTGGTCTGGTTTTGTTGTGCTAGACTAGAATCGACAAAGATGAGTTTTATGAGAGTGCTTAGGCTCTTATGCTGTACGGACAGTTTGGGGTCTTTGGATACATTCCAGTGGCTATCAGGAGTATTGTGTCCTACTGACAATTTGATTTTTGAGTTGAATGGATACGAATTAAGTAGTGACTCATTTCTGTTTGGCTTAATACATAATGAATTTTATTGTCTCGTGAATAAAACTGAACACTTCATGACTACATGATGGGGAAACATGTAGGGGCTTTGTCCCTACTGAAATATTTTTCTTACAGTTGTTTTTGAATTTTATTTTAGGCAAAAGTCAACAACTCTAGCTTAATTGGAGTAGGCTACACTCAGACTCTGAGGCCTGGTAAGTATTCTTGATAAAGTAGGATTGTTTTGATAGTATTAAAAAAGTTAGTTTTCATTCTTCAGCTTATTTTTCAGACCTTTCAAGCACACAGAAGAGTTGAAAGAAAAGTACAATAAATACATGTTTACCTTTTGCCACAACTCTCTCTCCTTCCTTCCTTCCTTCCTTTTTCTTTCTTTCTTTCGCTCTCTTTTTCTTTCTTTTCCTTCCTTCCTTTCCCTCCCTCCCTCCCTCTCTTCCTTCCTTCCTTCCTTTCTCTTTCTTTCTCTCTCTCTCTAAAATAAAAGTAATTTTTATTTTGTTGATAAAAGTTCATTCATTGCTTTGGTTCTGTCTATAGTCTTGTTGACTTTATATAATATTTTGAAGCATGCTGTGTCTAGAGCAGCATTTCTCCAACTTCACAGTGCACATGACTCATCTTGGAGTCTGGTTAAAGTACTGGGGACTTTCCCCCCTCCAAATAGGATTTTCCTTCCCAAAGTTTATTTTGGCGATTTTGAAACCTAAAGAAAAGTTGGAAGAATGGTACAGTGAACATCATATACCCTTACCCTATGTTGACCAGTTATTAAAATTTACAACATTTTATGTCTCTGAAACTTCACATACTTTTCTAAAAAAAACTGTATGTTTTGCAGACATACAGACACGGCAGCTCCTAGCATGTGTATCCTAAGAGTAAGACATTTTTCTTTATAAGCATAATACCATTGTTGCATCTAAGAAAACTAACATTAATGTGATACCAAATATATATTCAGATTTACCCCCGTCCCCAAATGTGTCTTTATTGTAGGTTTTCCTTTCTAGGATCTAATTATGATTATGTCTCTAGTCTCTTTTCATCTGGATAGTACACTCAACATTATATTCTAGAACACCTTGAACTTGTTATTAAAACATTTCTCTGTGACTTGGTGCCTTACCTAGAATGGTAACCCAGTCCTTCTGGTGTCTCAGATACTTCCAAGCGCCCTCTGGTGGCCAGCACTAGTAGGTCAGCTGACAGGCTGAGGAAGTGACAGGCCGGCTTCTGGGGATGACTGTGAAAGAAGGCTCAGACTGAGTGAAGTGCCAGGTACATCACGGTTTTTTGTTTTTGTGTTTGTCTTAATAGGTGTGAAGCTTACACTCTCTGCTCTGGTAGACGGAAAGAGCATTAATGCTGGAGGCCACAAGCTTGGGCTCGCCCTGGAGTTGGAGGCTTAATCCAGCTGAAAGATAACCTTTGGGAATGGATATCAGAAGATTTGGCCTTAATATATTTCCATTGTGACCAGCAGCAGGCTTTTTTCCCCCCAAGAAGATGATCAAAACAAAGGATGATCTCAACAAGAGCTGTATTTTAAGTATTTAGACAGTTCCTTGTTAGCTGGTTTCTAGTTGAATTGGTTATCTAGTTACCAATGCTGCAGTCCTGCAGTCACCTATACATTATTTAAATGTATTTAACTGTTAAATGCGCTACCCACCAATAATGAAATAGACCTTTATGAAAACTGTGCAATTGTGTGCATGTTTGTTTTTATGTTCCTTTAGAAAACATTGACTATTACCATTGAATGAGATGGATCAGTGGATATTAAGATGAGGTTAAAAATTTTGTTAAGTTCAGCCATTATTACTTTTGGTATCCCAGAACATGACAAATTATGAATAAAACAAGTACACATAATTAATGGCTCCAAGTATTTGCAGAGTTCCACGTTTGCCAGCTAGGGTCAAATCTCCGTGGTAGCTAGCCAATATTTAATTTTTCCAGTGAGTATTTTGCCCTTTACCTAAATCTGTGCCACAGAATCTTCTGTGTCCCTAGAAGAATTCCACGAGCTTTTTAAGACTACAATAAGAGGATACATGCTTTTACACTCTTCAGTTTGTAAGTCTGTGCAGAATTGCCCTGCATAATTGAAAGGAAAAAGAAGGTGCTGAAAAGATACACAAACACACCATACCCCTGTGAGCTACTGCTAGGAAAATAAAGTAGGTCCTGGTTTGGTGAGATGGTGTTAGGCGTACAGAAGAGGAGTAAGTTGTAGACAGTAAGGGTAACCTGTGGGACTCTGAGAGATCATTACTCATTTCCTTCTAGGCAGACATTGGAAGGTGGGTATAGGTAGGAGACCAGAGGCAGCCCCTTTTGGCTGTGTAGCATTGGCCTTCATCTGGGTACGAATGAGACATTAATAGGTGGTTCTGATTGGAAAAGTAGGAAGGAGCAAGTTTTCTGATAGGAGATAATTGGAATGATACGATTAAAGTCTGGAGAAGATTTGTTCAACAAATCTGTAATAGTAGACCTGAAGAATGGTAGAGCCTGATTGATAAGAAATGGGTAAGAAAATGGAAGGACTCATCACCCAAGAAATGATACATGCTACAAACTTTGAGATTGAGAAGAAGCTGGTGAGAAACCAGAGCTCAAGCAAGCTGTCCACACAGGAGGATTGGGGGCATGAAGACCCCTCTGGTCCCACTTTGTCCTAGGGGACTGCCTTGAATGGCCCATGTGAATCATGGTTCTCTGAAAAGCCCTCTCCAGACAGACATGACTTAAGGGACAGAAGGTTAGAATTTGAGTCAGCCTGAGTCAGGTAAGAGGAGAAACATGAAAAGATGTCCATGCAGGCTAGGCCTGAAAGCAACTCTTACAGTGTAAAGTAGACCCACAGGTAACTAATCACTGCTGGTGGTCCTCTAAAGGGAAAAATCCTAGTCATGGCGACTGCTGCCCCTTAGCTAACAGGTGGCCCTTTATTGGGCAGTGGCTACAGTGATATAGACTGAGGTGTGGCACAAGTGAGTTAGCTGTTTGTCAAGGATCTGTTTAGAGTAAGTTGAACCTATTCACTCATGTGCATCCTAATATGCTTTCATGAGTTAGAAAAGTGTAGGTTTCCAGCCATGGTCCTGTGTAGTGTCCAAAATGCAAAGTGTGTCCCAGGAGCTGTGAGGTCATGTGGCTTTTTTTTTTTTTTTTTTTTTTTTTTTTAGAAGAGTCTCGTTCTGTTGCTCAGGCTGGAGTGCAGTGGTGCAGTCTGGGCTCACTGCAACCTCCGCCTCCTGGGTTCAAGCAATTCTGCCTCAGCCTCCCGAGTAGCTGGGATTACAGGCGTGTACCAATACACCTGTCTAATTTCTGTATTTTTGGTAGAGACCAGGTTTCACTGTGTTGACCAGGCTGGTCTCGAACTCGTGACCTCAAATGATCCACCTGCTTCAACCTCCCAAAGTGCTAGGATTACAGGCGTGAGCCACTGCACCCAGCCTCATGTAGCTAGCTCTTTAGCCCTGCTTCCAGCAGTCTCCAGGGACACTTCCCATCACCGAGGCTTACCAGGTAGCGACAAAGGCTGCTTGAATTCCAGGCTAATGCCACTTATGCCTGAGGCAGTGTCAGTGGAAAGAATTTGACCTTCATCTGTCAGTAGAGGTAAGATCTATGAGGTTGGGGAGATTTAAATGAGAAGCAGAGCACCTGGGTCGAAAGTGCTCCATAAGGCCTGGTTCCTTCTCCACCTCACCTCATAGGCAGATGGTTCAGGAAAGCCTGAAGTTCTCTTCATCCTCTAGGGAGTGTGGTAACAACTGCTGTACCTATAGGCTTGTTTGCTTCACGCCTCCCTGGCCAATGATCCCCCTCACTTTCCTTCAGAATTTCAAGGAGACGGCGGGATACTCAAGTCAACCCTGAGGTCCTCAGGTCCAGGCCAACTGATCTGGCTCTCAGAGGTGATGTTCCCCCACCAGGGCCTCCACTGGAGAGGTGAGGCTGGGGAGCTGACTGTGCTGTGAAGATACGAGCAAGCCGCCAGCAGAACTGGCATCACCTACAAAAGCACACAAGTGACACCCGTGGGCACCTGCAATCCTCTTTCCTGTTGTCAGACACCATAGTGGCCCTCCACCAGTCCCCAACTTCACGGAACCAGAGCTTCGCCTGCCCTGAGGGAGAGATGTAGGAGGGAGACAAGCCTGGGGTCTCTGGCCATTACATGTGGCCAGGCCAATTAAAACTTCATAACCTGCCTCCTGCCAGCTGGAGGTTCCTGCAGTAGGGCCACAGACCTGGCGCCAGGGAGGGGACAAACCTCAAGGCCCCTTTCACTGAAGGAGCTGTCTTGTGCTGGGCCTTCCCTCCCTTCCCCATCCAGCGCCACACACGGAGGCTCAGGAGGTCGTGTGTCCCAGCCCCACTTTATTTTCGAATTTAAAACTCAGGGTCAATTCCTGGGGTTCCCAGGCAACCCTCCCTCGCTCACTAGGGGCCAGCCCTAGATCTTGAAGGCCAAGGTGAGGCCATCGCCCAGGGGCAGGAGGCTGATGTAGACCCTGACGTCCCGCCGGATGCGTTCGTTTAGGTTTCGCACACACTCGGCCGCCACGTCCCCTTTCGGAGGTTGCAGCACCTTCCCGCGCCACAGGACCTGCGAGAGGGCGGGGCCAACCGGGCCGTGGGAGGCGGGGTCTCGGAGGGAGGTGCCCAGGCGGGAGGCGGGACCTCGGAGGGAGGTGCCCGGATGGGAGGTGATCAGAGCCGGAGACTGAGAACCAAAGTGGAGGAAAGCCTGGGTACCTACTGGGGCCGGAGCCCCGCAGGGGATGGAGCCTACGTGACTGGACTGGGTGGGGTTTTGGGGTATGAGGAGTCAAGGAAAAAGATGGGGACCCGCCCCGAGAGGGTGCTTTCTCCTCCCCCGCAGTGGATCCCTTACTCTGAGGACGGCGAGGATGCCTCCGGGTCGCAGCAGCTGCAGGCAGCGCTCGTAGTAGGCAGCGCAGTTCTCCTTGTCCGCATCCACCACGGCCACGTCGAAGGTGCCGGCCTCGCCCGCCGCCAGCAGTTCGTCTTGCAGCGGGAGGGAGGGCAGGTGCGGCTGAGTCCGCGGCCCCGGCCTCCCTAAGGCCCCTCCCAGGCCGGTCCGGGCGCTGTGATAGCCGACCGTGCCCTTAACCCGCAGGCCTAGTCACAGCTCGGCCACACAGCGGCCTCGTTTGCAATGGCCACAAAACCCTTCCCGCTTCGGTGCTCACCCAGGGTTTCCAGGGCGGGCTTCAGCCGGAGGTCGATCTTGTGCTCCGCCTCGGCCTACGGAGGAAGCGGGTCAGCCGTTGCGCCCTCGCCAAGGGCTGCGGGGCTACGCGCGGGCGCTCACCTGCCTCCACAGGGGTCGCCCCAGCTCCGGGGGCTGCGCTTCCACCTCGCAGGTCACTACACGCCCGTCTGCGGGCAGCGCCAGGGCCAGGGCCAGGGCAGAGTAGCCCGTGAAGGTGCCTGGGACCAGAACACAGACGGGCTCAGAGCAGAGTGGGGGTCGGCCCAGAAACCTCGGCCCTCCGGGATCCCGGCCGCGTGCCCCTACCCAGGTCCAGCGCCTTCTTGGCCTGGATGAGCCGCGCCAGGTTGGCCAAGAGCTGGGCCTGCTCGCAGGTCATCATGGAATCCCCCTGCGGCTGCTCCAGGGTGAGCTGCGTGAAAGGAGAAGGTGGCACCAGCCATGCCGGTTACCCACCTTCGCCCTGTGGTCCCAAACCCCCAAAAGCGCGGTTCTGGGCGTGGCCTGGGAGATGGACCCTCCGGGAACGCCCACCGCACCCGGCCCGGGGAAGCCGGAAGCCCAGAGAGGGCCACGGCCCAGCCCAAGGTCACACAGCCACGTGGGACCCGCAGGGCCCGAGAGGGACGCCCGTTCCCGTCCCGCGCCCTGCTGACCAGCCTCAGGCTTCTCAGCGCTGGGTGCTCCCGCATGGAGCGGCTCAGAAGATACTGCCACAGCGGGCTGTCCTCGGGGGGAAGCAGGCACTGCTCTCGCCGGCCTCGCCATGGGGGGCACCGCCTTCCTGCCGGGGAGAAGATACTGGATCAGGGTACAGGGCTCTGCGGCCACAGGGGTTAACCTGAGCCACGCCGCGCCCTCCTTTGCGCCCGCCCGCCGGGACAGGGTCCTGCTCACCCAGGAAGAGGCCAGTGGCGAAGGCGGCGCCCAGCGCGGCTGAGCCCAGGGCCAGCGCGGCGGGCACGGAGAGCCGGGGCACCGGCTGGGTCATGGCGCGGGCAGGAGGCGGCGGGAGGCAGTGGCAGGTCACGTGCGCTGGAGCTCCTGGGACACGTTTCGGACTCGCGGGCCCGCCGGGCTCCACCTTGTCTGGGCACTGCCCGCGGAGCGGTGGTCTCGGGCATCATCTGGCGGCCACACAGCCTTACTGCAAGCCCTGCCCGATAGAGCCGGGCGCGATCTGGTGGCCGCGCCGGGAACTGCGCCCCTGCTGGATCTGAATTTTCCCGCCTTTGCCCTCAGTCCAGGGGCCTGCGTCCATTGCTCCTCCTGCCAATGCTTTTTCTCCTCGCCACCATTTATTCTGAGGCCCCTTGGGGCATATGTGGATTGTGTGTGGAGGGCGCCAGTGTAAATTACAAGATAGTCACAAGTACAAGAGATACAGATTAAAGGGGGAAGGCCTCCTGAAGGCCTCCCGGGCAAGATGCCCCAAAGCATCAGGCTGAAGGAGTGAGGGACCTGGTTTGAGGGCACGCAGCCTCGAGTTGGGGTTCAGGAGCCCTGGGGTGGGCCTGTGGAACTGAGACCATATTCTTAGCTGTTAAAATCCTGCCTTTGGGGGCCAGATAGATATGAGCGTCTGATCTTGGGCCTGCCAGTCTCTCTGAGCCTCAGTTTCCTTCCGGTAAAATGAGGCCCACAATCTTACCATAAAAGGCACCAGATCCCACAGCTTCGCACACAGTAGCACAATAGGTAAGTGGCAGCCGCTGTTAAGTTTGTAGGTTGGAAGACATCTTGAGGAGAGAGCCAGTGAAGCTCCCTTGCAAGGTTGTTCTGCTGAAACAGTCCGGAGAGCACTGATTGAACCCCTACCATGCGTCAAATTCCGGAGGAGGTGAAAGACACTGTCTTTTTTTTTTTTGTCTGGGTCTTGCTCTGTCACCCAGGCTGGAGTGCAGTGGCACAATCAAGTCTCACTGCAACCTCCACCTCCCAATTCAAGCGATTTTCCTGCCTCAGCCTCTGGAGTAGCTGGGACTACAGGCACGCACCCCCACACCCCGCCAATTTTTGTATTTTTTTGTAGAGATGGGTTTTGCTATGTTAGCCAGGCTGGTCTCAAACTCCTGGCCTCAAGTGATCTGTTTGCCTCGGCCTTCCAAAGTGCTAGGATTACAGGCCTGAGCCATCGTGCCTGGCCTTGTTCTTTTTCTTTTTTTGGCAAGGTCTCTGGCAAGGCTGAAGTGCAGTGGCAAGATTACCGCTTACTGCAGCATCGAGCTCCTGGGCTCAGCAATCCTCTTGCCTCAGCCTCCCAAGTAGCTGGGACCACAGGCAGTCACTATTGTGCCTGGCTAAATTTAAAAAAAAATTTAAAAAAAGAATTTTTTTTTTTTTTGAGAGAAGGGGTCCAGACTGGACCCCTTCTATGTTGTCCAGGCTGGTCTTGAACTCGTGGCTTTAAGTGATCTTCCTGCCTTAGCCTCCCAAAGTGCTGGGATTACAGGTGTGAGCCCCCATGCCTGGCCTCTGGTTGGTATTCTTAGTGAAGCTGGTTTCAGAGATGCAGGTCACACAGAACTGGTGGGTGGCCCAAGCTTCACGACTTCTGCCTCTGTGAAATGGGGTTATGAATAGTCCCAACCCCCCAGGGGACCAAATGAGACAATACAGGTGGAGGATTTACACGGGATCTGGCACTTAGTGAGCTGTCATGTTACCTTTAAAAGGAGTCAAAGTCCGAAGGGCAGACTGTTATGTTCCTGCGCTCTGCAGATGTCCCCTGGGGTGGAGGCTATAAGAGTCCTTTTTTTTTTTTTTTTTTTTTTTTGAGATGGAGTCTTGCTCTGTTGCCTAGGCTGGAGTGCACTGGCGTGTTCTTGGCTCACTGCAACCTCCGCCTGCCGGGTTCAAGCGATTCTCCTGCCTCAGCCTCCTGAGTAGCTGGGACTATAAGCACCCGCCACCATGCCCAGCTAATTTTTGTACTTTTAGTAGAGAGGGATTTCACCATATTGGCCAGGCTGGTCTTGAACTCCTGACCATGTGATCTGCTGCCTCGGCCTCCTAAAGTGCTAGGATTACAGGCGTGAGCCACCGCACCCGGCCAAGAGTCCATTTTAACAACGCTGACTAGGCATTGAACTCTACTGGGGGGTATCCCAGGCAGGGGCTAAGCCTGAGCAAGGCCCAGAGGCCGGCTTGTTGAGGGGTTAATGAGAGAGTGGCTTGGCTGAGGACGAAGGCCAGAAACTTGGAGTCATCTGAGCTGCAGGAACCTTGGGCCTAGTGGAGGCAAGGAAGGAGGAGGCGAAGCTCTGGGGGGAGGCTCCGGGCTGGAGGGCACGGCCTCTAATCAGAGATGGGTTGGGGCTGGTTCTTAGACCAATCAGCCGGCAGCCCCGGGAGCACACGGCTGTGTGGGCCCAGAGCCTGCCGTCTCCGTGCCCAGGTGCCCTTTCGGCCCTCCTGGGACTTGCCACCGGACCAGCAGCCCTGCTCGAGGACAAGCTTCTTGCCCTTTACTCTTTTACGCTTTACGTCTTGCTTGGCCTCTAACTTGACTGTGAGCCTCTTTCTGCAGGGTAAGGACTAAGGCTGCTGGTCTCTCCTTCCCAGGACTGAGCACACAGCAGGCACTAAATAAATGCTCTTGAATAGAGTCCTGGCGCTGCCCGGCGCTCCTTGCTGCCAGGAGTAAAAATAGTAATAGCAGGACCCCTTTATTGAGGACCTGCCGGGCACCAGACACAATGCTTCCAGGATCCGGGGATGGCTGTGATCTTGTTCCCATTTTCCAAGCAGGAAAGCTCAGAGACCACCGCCCAGACCCCCCAGCCAATACAGGAAACACGCCTACCACTCCCCTGTACCCTGGGACCCAGGGGGAACAGGCCTTCCTGGCTCCACTGCTGGGACGAGGGCCCTGCGCTCAGGTGGGGCCGGGGAAGGCCCTCTCCCTTCAGCCCAGGGGTCCGGGTTGCAGCAGGCCCCCAGCTCACACTGAAACTCCCTCCCACAGCCTGGCTTTAGGCCGGAGCCGTGGAGGTTGAGGGGGAGCGGGTGGGGAGGGGAGGCATGTCACCATATATCCCCGTCAGATTAAAAAACTAATTTGAAAAGATTAATGTATTCCATTCTTGTTACACTGGCTGTGATACCTCTGGGCCCGCGGCCGCTCTGCTTCCTGATTATTGAATTTTTATGGCCTGGTAATTAATTGCAGATTCCCTGTTTTGTTCTATTTCTTTTTCTCTGACATTTTAATTTCAACAAAAAGCAGTGGTCTCCATGCAGGTTCTCTCTGGAGATCCTAATGGTCTATAAAACAGAATGACTTATAGATGTGGCACCCACTTCAGTTGGCGAGCGATTGTTTGAAACCTTGCTGATCATGCAAAATTTAATTTTTCCACCTCCCTCCCCTTTTTGCTACTCATTTCTTGTCTCTTGCATTGCGGCACCAGCATCTCAGCTCACCATGAAGTGGGCAAAGTGTCGCCTCCAAATCTGTTCTAGGGCTTTTTCCTAGAAGCCTGGGGGATGAAGACAGAGTGGGTTTTGATTCTTCTCCTGGCAGTGGGCCTGGTAGTGGGTGGGGTGGGGGGCTGAGCCTCCCCAAAAGGCCGTGTGGATGTGGGCAGCAGCCCCCAGGGGAGGGAATGGGCAGGGGAGGTCATTTACACCTGTCTCAGGTGCCTTCTGGCCAAATGCCATTGCCCCATTAAGCACCAAGGAAACTGAAGCCTCATCAGGGCAGAGAAAATGGGCATCAGCACCTGCACTTAGGCCCTCACCAGGCAGAGAGGAAGCCAGTTCAGGCTGAGGGGACTGACACAGACAGATGCAGATAGCCTGACAGTCTTAGCTGAACGGAGTCACTGGGAACAGCTGTCCACACAAACAGGTCTGGAGGAGACCCTTGAGTTTCCATCCTGGTGGCCCCACTCCTATTTCTCATAGCCCTGCTAGCATCACACAGGCTGGCTGCTGTCGCCTGGGATCCCCTGGGACTGAGCAGGGCAGGAGGCAGAAGGGTAAGGTCATAGAATCAATCCTAAGGGATTGGAGTTCAGATGTCTTTTGGGTCCAGGCAGGTGAAGTAAGTGGGGGGAGATGATAGGGGGTGGTGGGGACTGGAGCACTCCAGAGCTCACCCTTCACCAGGGGACATGGTGGCCACTTGGCTTTAGCCTTGGATGCCAAGTGGGAAGATGGGCCCAGTATGGCCAGAGCTTCCGATTCCCCAACAGAGTTTGGCAATATGGCTTTCAGTGTGAAACTTCACATTTTAAACATCGGTGTGTGTGTGTGTATGTGTTTAAACACTGTTGGCCAAACTGAACACATCTTTTTATTTATTTATTTATTTTTTTGAGTCATAGTCTTGTTCAGTCGCCCAGGCTGGAGTGCAGTGGCGCAATCTCAGCTCACTGCAACCTCTGCCTTGCCTGCCGGGTTCACACCATTCTCCTACCTCAGCCTCCCAAGTAGCTGGGACTATAGGCGCCCGCCACTATGCCCGGCTAATTTTCTGTATTTTTAGTAGAGATGGAGTTTCACCATGTTAGCCAGGATAGTCTCCATCTCCTGACCTCGTGATCTGCCCATCTCAGCCTCCCAAAGTGCTGGGGGATTACAGGCGTGAGCCACCACGCCTGGCCTGAACACGTCTTTGAGCTTCATGTCTGCTCTGGCTCATGAGGCACCAGTTTCCTCTGACTCTAAGCATGAATGAGAGAAGTTAGGGCATGAAGCGGAGTCCCCTAGAGTGAGAAGGGCCTCAGTAGCCAGCAGACCACCGCCGATGTCTGGGTGAGGGTCTGCTGGGCTCCCTGAGGAGAACACTACCTTTTACCTAAGGTGTCAGGAGGCAGGGCTTTGACTCCAGGGGCTTTAGGATGGTTCAGGCCGAATGCACTGACACAGGCAGACACAGACAGATGGCGACTTGGGGGCTCCTGAGGCTCCTCACATGAGCTGGGAGCATGAGGGGGCCACAGTATGGTCCTACCTCCTCTGTGCTGAGATACTGGGGAGCTGACCCTGGCAGTGCCTCTCGTGACTCACTTTTCTCATCTGGAGAGGCTGAATGGGAAAGCCACAGCGTGGGCTTTAGAACAGATGAACTTGGGTTCCAACATCTGCCCCACCACTCACTTTGCAGCTGAGTAAGCTCAGGG